CTACTTGCCCAGGCTGGCTTCCAACCATAATCCTCCTGATCTCTGCCTCCTGAGTAAGCTAGCATTATAGGGGTGAGCCCTTGGCTCCTCGAAAAGTATTTTCTTTTTTTTTTTATGTGTACCAGTATCCAGCATAAGCATAATAAATTATTTCTACTATGTGTCAAAGATACAATTTCTTTTCTCTAGTAGCATTATGAAGTCATGAATTTTTAACATACAGAGTATGTTTTAACCACTGCACTTTTTTTGAGACAGAATCTTGCTTTGTAACCCAGGCTGGCTTTGAATTTGAGATCATTCTGTCTCCTTACCTATAGGCTTGCACCAACAAGGCCCAGGGTTTTTGTTTGTTTTTGTTTTGGGAGAGGAACCTGGAGCTCTTGTTGTGTGTATTAGGCAAGGGCTCTACCACTGAACTACATTCTCAGCCCGCCTCCCCCCCCCTTTTTTTTTTTTTTTAGTTTTTTTGATTCTAATATTAGAATAATAATTTGATTCTAATTTTTATTAATAATAATAGAATCTATATTATTACCTGTAATATTATCTATAATTATATGAGTAATATAGACAAAATCTATATTATCTATAATAATAGAATATATTATTTAGTAATACAATATTTTGATTCTAATATTTGGTCATGATGTTACTGCTTTTCATATTGCTAGATTTGGATTTAGGATTTTTTTTTATCTGAGGTCATAAGTGAAATCTTGTGAAAACTAATTTTAAAACTCTGGAGATGGGAAATTTCAAGTTAATTATATAACTAAACAAGAGTGCACATTTGTAAATTAGGAAACTATGTATTATGACTTCCGACCTTAAGCTAGAAAGAGTTCTTTAAAAAAAAAATTAATGGTGGTATTCATGTTTGAACTCAGGGCCTCATGCTTGCCAGGCAGGTGCTTTATCACTTGAACCACTCCTCCAGTCGGTCCTTTTCTGTTTTTTTGTTTGTTTGTTTTGTTTTTTCCTGGAGTTTGAACTGGGCCTTCACCTTGAGCTACTCCACCAGCCCTTTTTTTGTGATGGTTCTTTTCGAGATAGGATCTTGAGAATTATTTGTTCTGGCTGGTTTCGAACTGAGATCCTTCTGCCTCCTGAGTAGCTAGGGTTACAGATGTGAGCCTCTGGTTCCTAACTACAAAGATTTGACATTAGAGAACTTTTTCAAGTCTAGTTTTCTTTGATTTTGGTATTAGAGCATAATTGTTTGCTAAGGCTGCCCTACAAAGTACCAAGGGTTGGGCTGTGGGGATGTAACTCAGTGGTAGAACATTTGCTGAGTCTGAGTTTCCTAGCACTGAAAAAAAAAAAAAAAACAGTATACCCAAAAAGAATTAACAAACTGTCAAAGACTGGCATAAAAGAATTTTATTTTCTTACAGTTCTGGAGGCTAGAAGTCTACAAGATCAAGGATTGGTTCATTCTGGGACAAGGGAAAAAAAGGCAAAAGATGCATGGAAGGAAATTTTCTTGGCTTAAAATAAGCTTGATTTTGTGGTATTCTCATTAAGATACTTAAAAAAGAACACAACCCAGACCTATGCTGGTAAAACTCCTAAATTTAAGTATAGAGAACGTGGATTTGGAAAAAAGCATAGCCTCCAAATCTTCATTATTTCTCTTTTTTCTTCACCTCTGTGTTACGATTTTTCCACTAGCTTTACCAGGCTATTGTCTGTTCTAACAATTCATTTCTAAGTTATAAATGCAAAACTCAGTGAGTTTTGGAACTAATTTTTTTTTTCTGGGATTTGAACTCGAAACCTGGAGTTTGTTAGCAGAAGTTCTACCATTTGAGCCTCTCTGCCAGCCCTAGAAACGGGTGTTTTGTTTTTTGTTTTAAATTCTGTAATGGAATATCTGAAAGTGCTCCTTTTTTTCCCCTGTTAAAATATTTATGGTTTTGTTCAGTGCTTCTCATTCTGAAACTGCCTTTCTTGAAGTGCTTTTGGTATATTCTCTGTGGGTGTTAGAGACCTCTTTGTGTACATTGTCATGCTCCTTTCCCCTCCAGAGCATTGTGCTGTTGTCTCCCGAATAAAGAACACAGTTACTGCAGTCTGTATTCCAGTGGTCTGAGCAGGGTGTCAGTTTTCTATAAGACCTCTGCAAGAAGTTCATCCATCCTCTCAAGGAACACACCTTCCTAAGGGGCTGTGGGAGTGTACAGCACTGCACCAGGAGCCAAGGCCATAGGCCTCCTTGGCGATGCCCAACTCTAGGATATGACTGCCCTCTCAGGGCCATGCTCAGGGTGAGAAATAATAGGAAGGTTGATGTTTTCTAGCAGAATCTACACAGATACACACAAACACCTTTCTTGGCTACAATGAGATTTTATTTATTTATTTTTTTTACTGTGAGGAAAGAGCTCTCAGTCCAATAGTGAAAATTTTCTCTCTGTTGAGATTTGGTTTTTTTTTTTTTTTTTGGCCATACTGAGGCTTGAACGCAGGGCCTTCACCTTGAGCCACTCTGTCAGCCCTTTTTTGTGATAGGTATTTTCGAGATGGGGTGTCTTGAACTGCTTGCCTCAGGCTGGTGATCCTCCTCTGCTTCCTGATAGCACCTGGCCAGAAGTGTTTTTAATGAACATTTTAAAGAAACCTTGCCATTTATGTATACAGATTGGTAGATAGTTACCTTGTTTGTATTGTTACCTTAGATATCTTGTGTGTGTGTGTGTGTGTGTGTGTGTGTACTGGGGTTTGAACTCAGGGCCTCATCCTTGCTAGGCATGTGCTCTATTGGTTGAGCCATCCCACCAGTCACGCCTTACATATCTTGATTCTTGAGTTATTTGCAAAATGCACTCTCAATATGTGCAATGGTTGCTTGTTCTATGTTGGGTAAAATTGTTCCTTATTTTAAGATGGGCATTATCATTGTAGACAGAATTTACCTGACACATACTGCTATTTTTGCTTTTTTTTAGTAATAAATACAGCTTTTGAGAAATGAACACTGAAGAAAACAATTAGCTGTAATAGGTGGACTAAAAGCCCTCATAGTTACAGATCATGACATCAAAATGTCAAAATGTAGTAAAGAGTAAAATTTGGAATGTTAATCACATAATGGTCATGGTTCTTAACAGCTCTTAGCGTAGCTTTGTGTATTGACCTTTGCATGGTGTACAAATTTGTTGAGACTTCTAGCAGATCGCTGAGCCTCCTGAGACGTTAAATACAGTTGAGTGTGTTGGTGTGTGGTTTTCATGATGTTGGTCCAGGCAAGTGAGTCCAGGACAGCGAGGAATGGCTAAGAGCCACTGAATTGGGAGTTAATAAAAACTGCTAGGCTAGGGCTAAGGGTGGAACTCAGTGCCTAGTTTGTGTGCAGCCCTAGATACGGTCCCCACCACTGTACGTAAACACACACAAGCCTAAAACTTGCTAGGTTGGTAGGCTTTTGAGGCCATGAAAATCATTTCTAGCAGAGCCAAAAGACAGCCATACAAATGTATCTACTCTACTCAGGTACTCCACAGGTCCATCTGAGCTCATGGAGAACAAGACATGAGCAGCAGAAACTATCCCAAGTTCTCTTTTATAAATGTAATAAAAACAGTAAAAAGATGAAAAGGATTTTCCACAAAGTAATGAATACAAAGCAACTAAAACATGCTCAGGCTGCACTAAAAAACACAAAAAGTTGAAAAAGATGTCCAGGGGAGAATGAGTAGGTAACATTAAAAAAAACCAGAATATGGGTTCTAACTTCAACTTCTAAACCTTAATTTGGGAGTGGGGGTGGGGGAAGAGTTACCCTTTCTGCACTGAATTCTATCACTCAGTTCCTGCCCTACCATCTACCCACACTCCCACCCCGTTCATGCTCCTGTCTGAATGTCATTTCCTCAGAACCCTAATCCCTATTTTCTATTTTTTGTTCATATCAGAATGTTTTCATCATACGTTTATGTATGTATTTGTTTTCTTTTCCGCTGCTGTGTGGATCCTAGGAATTGACTTTCTCACCATCAAAGCCCCTAGTATATAGTGTTTGCATATTATAAATGCACAATATTTCTTGGTAAATAATTGAATCTCCAAGCTTGTCAAATTATCTACTGCACATCAGTCAAATCCTTTCACATTCTGTAGTCCCCACCATAATCTTCCTAGGCTTGTGTCATTCCTTCTTATCTTGTCTCCAAGCACAGGGTTCCTCCTCCTCCCCTTTTTTTTCTTAAAATATATATAACTCAAGCATATGGGGGGGGGTATTTGAACTCAGGGCTTTGTGCCTGCAAAGCAGGTGCTTTACCTCAAGCTCAAGCTTGTTCTTGAACCTGCTATGTGCCCCAAGCTATCCACAAAATTTGGAACACTTTTGCCTCAGCCTTCTGAGGGCTGGGATTGTAGGCGTGCACCACTGTTCATTTTCCACATGAACTGTTAAAGAGGAATAATCCAGGGCAGGGGGCATGGCTCAAGTGGTAGAGCCTGAGCCATTGAGGCACACCCAGTTCAAACATCCCACTACTTCCACTCAAAAAAAAAAAAAAAAAAAAAAAAAAGGAAAAGAAAAATCACACCACATTCCACTTGAAAACAAGTGACTTCCCTCTGGCTTACAATATACAATGTCTCGTTAGGCCTTGAAGGCCATGAAGGATTTTCTTCTGACTATTGATACCAGATTGCATTTGTTTTCTGTCTAGGTACAACCTGCTCCCTTTGCTCAATTCTTGGCACTTGGTCCCTCACCACCTTTAATGGCTAGAAACAATCACTGAGCTGTAACAATAATACTTGCCTTGACTAAGTCACAAACCAGTTGATAGAAGGTATACATTCAAATAAAATAAGTGCTAAAATGGATTCCACTCACAAAACCTACCAAGAATATATTTCTGAGGTGAACTTTAAGAAGCAAAATTGGCAAGGCACCAGTGGCTCATGCCTATAATCCTAGCTACTCAGGAGGGCAGAGATCTGGAGGATCATGGTTCAAAACCAGCCCTGGGCAAATAGTTCCAAAGACCCTATCTTGAAAAAACCCATCACAGAAAAGGGCTGGTAGAGTGGCTGAAGGTGAAGACCCTCAGTTCAACAGCACAAAAAAAAAAGCCTATGAAGCAGTTAAGACTTTTGAGTACCAGGTACTCAACCCTGTGCCTCACCCATGCCAAGGCAAGCACTCTACCAGTGAGCTATATACATCTCCAATCTGAAACTAGCCAGTTTTGTGCTGATTTTCCTTAACAATCTTGCTTCACTTGTTTTTGGGATACATACATGCATGTAATTACTTTAACCAAGTGTGGATTTTAGTGTCTCTCATTTTCCTTTGGATAGCTGGATTTTATTCAAAATCAGAGTTTTAAGAATTCATACTTTGATGACAAGAAAAAAGTGGGATTGGTAGCATTTTAAATTACGGACTATTTAAAATAAATGCAAAAGTGGAGTATAACAAAATGAACTCCCAGGTGCCTGTTACCCAGCTTCAATAATTGCCAGTGGTGGACAAGTTTTACCTAGGTTGTGGATAGTTTTCAAACAAGTCCCAGCCATCAATCACACTGTTTCATCTACAGGTATTTCAGGGTGTATCTCTAAGAATGAACTGCTTTATTTTATCTTATTTTTTGGTGGTAGTGGATTTGAACTTAAGTAATTTCTAGCCAGTGTTCAAGTAGAGTGCTGCCATATAGATGCTGAAAGTACCACCAAGGTCTTTCGATTGGAAATGTGTGGAAGGACTGGCTCATCTGTCAATGTAGTTTCCGAGTCTATATCACCGGTCTCATACCTTCTCCTTGTTACTCCTACAAAGTGGTAGGTTGTCACTTGTGAGTAGATGCTGAAATTCTAAAGTATAATGAAACCGTACACACCACAGCTTCAGTAGTCATTGACGGATGACTGATGGATGAAGTAGCCATCTTACTTCATGGCTTCTACAACCTCCACTTAAACAGTCTGAGGACATCGGTTACAGCAAAATGTATAGATTGTTACCGCTCATCACTTCACTTGATTCAAATGAGGACTCACAGGTTCGTGAGATGATGTCGCTTGTTAGGTGTGAAGTTGAGTTGAGCTGTTTTAAAGTTACAGAAGGCCGTGGTACAAAGTGCTGTGTGTCCGCGGCTTCGGCTGGGAGGCGCCCAGCGTCCACGCTTGAGTGCAGTCCCCCTCCCTGTGCTTCCGCGTGCACTTTGTCCCCTCGCGCTCTCGGAGAACTCGCTGAGAACTGTTCCCCGTGGCTTTCTTCTCTTCCCCCACTTCCTGCCGTGGCCCACCCCGCGGTTCGCGGGCCGCACCTGCAGGCACGCGTTTCCCATTGGTGACATCTTGGCGGGCCCGGCGGTGGCACTTCCTCTTCCATACCCCGTGACCCACGTCCGCCGCTGGCCTCGATCACGCGGCCTCTGCTTCCCGGACTCCGGAACCAACGGCCGGTCCCTGGCGTGGTGAGCCCCGCACGGGGCCCTGATCCCCCAACTCTTTTTTTCCCGTGCCTCCCCTGACCCCTCCCGGCTCTGCACTCGCCCCCTACTGTCGAGAAGTTCCCAGCTGTCGGGAAGTTCCCGGTCCAGGAACTCTTTACCTCGCCGCCCAGCCGCTCCCGAGCTGCCCTGCTTGCTTCCCCCATCCCGCCCGCGCGCCCCAAACTCCGGTCCTGACACGCTTTCCCGTCGCCCCCGCCCCCGCTGAGCTGGAGCCGGGCCGGCGACTCCCCACCCCCACTCCCACCCCCACCCCGCCGGGAGGAGCAGGAACTTCCCCTCCCCCCGCGCTCGCCCCGCCCCCGCCCGGAAGCTCCCGCCCGAGCCCGCGCGGGCCCCGGGGCCGACCTTCCTGCCTGACGGCGACTCACTCTCAAAGCTGTCGGATTGCCAGGTGGAGGTCGCAAGATTGTGTCACCTTGCCTCCGGACTTCAGCCCTGCTTCCCGCCAAAACACGCACCTCCGTGTCTCTGGGTTTTCCCCCCTCGCAGAAAGCACTTGCCCCTGGCCACTTGAACTTCCATTTCAGGTTAAGAACAGAAGATGCACCTGGACTTCCCGCAGAGCCATCTGTGTTTTTAAAGCATCAGGTGGAATTTGGGATTCTCTGGCCGTAAACCACGCTTGCTTGATGAAAATAGAAATCAGTTCTACCTTCTTCATTGGTAAGTCTAACAGTAGAAAAAGTCAACAGCTTAGTCTTTGTTCCTGCTCCTGTGGACTTTGACTCAAGTAGAACTTTCTGAGTAATAGTAAGACAACCAGCCTGGATGAACTCCCAGCGGTCCGGAGGTTAAAAACTTATTTACAAAGTGAAAAGGGGGGGCGGTGAGCTCCTAGTGAAAACTGCTGAGGGAACTCCTGGAACACGGGAGTCCTGTCTTTGTCCCTATCCTGAACAAAAGAATAAGGTGGGTGGTGCCTGCTTACCCCCAGATAAATTTAAGCCAATCCTAGACTCAAAGGCCGCGCCTTGTTTTATCTTGATTGCTTCTACCTTAAAACAGCTTAAATCCAGTCAAACCAGTATCACAGTGGGGAAGAGTATATTTTGTTGAGCTTGTTAGAAATGCAGAATCTCATCCACTATAGCGGTCTGTCTGAACAGACTATTTTCACTGGTTTCCTGGGGTGGTCCAAGTGCACACTCACTATGAGAACCTGGGACCTAGAGTCAGCTGGGCAAGTTGTGGGGACTCTTCCTGGCAGTCTCCCATAACGTTAAGTCAGAATCTCTGGATGCAAGAGCAGTGCTTTTACTACCCCAGCAATTGTGAGGGGCTGACAGTAAGGTGGTGGCTGTCCATCTGCCCTCACGTGTTCATGGGGGGTCTTTGCCAATGGGCTAATGTAGGTCTGGCTGCCACCTTGTGGGATGTTTCCAGAGAGGCTTCAGGTGTTGGTCTGCAGATCACACTGAAGGAGCCCAGGAGCTGGAATGACCAAGGGTAGAGGTCATTAAGATGACTGTAGGTCACCTTTAGGCTGTACTGCCTTCTAGAGGGGCAGAGGAAAGGAATGTGGGTGAAGCCTTGGGAAAATTTGGTCCCAAGAGTTTTGAAACTGTACTGTTTCTTAATAGATTTCTTAATAACTAATACTTTCCATTTGTATAGCATCCCCTATGGTGTCTTATGTAATAATCACTGGATGAGGTAGAAATAATTACCCCTACTTTAAGACAAGCAGCTCATCAAGATTGATTTTCCCAAGTTCATATTTCCAAAAGTAAGATTACAGCCGAATTCTTTCTCCATAGACTTCAATCCATGCCCTAGACTCTGTTGAGACAGCTCTGTCACTTAGCTGTTGGTGAGAGTAGCGATTATGTTATTGAAAAGCATAGTTCAACATTTCCTTATTCAGATTGTAAGATCGATTACAGTTCACAAGAAATTAGTAAATAACACCCCAGGAGTCTTTTGATTGTCTCCATACTGCCCCCAGAGGTATTCTTGTAAACTGTAAATCAGGTTGAACAATTTCTAGCAAACAACCTTGCCCTTTGCCCTGCCCCTTCCCCCTTAGCCCCTAGCTCCTCCCATCTGCAATATTTAAATTTCCTCCCCAGAACTTAAAGCTCTCAATGGAAAATTCAAAATCTGTAAATCTTCTCAAGGCAAATAAGGTGTTTCCCTTCTGATTCCTGTTATTCTAAGAATAAAGATAAACCTCCTAAGTGCCTTTGGGGCGGGGAGTGCGAGATTTAATGATGTGAGCTCTGGGCCTATAAAAGGGCTTCCACTGGAAGCTTAGAGCTAGAAGCCCAGTGGCAGCCCTGGCATACCTGCTCTGTGATACTCTGCTGCTCAGGGTTTCTGAGACTGGGAGACAATAACTCCTGTTTAATTTTTTTTCTTTCTTTGTAGGACAATTCATTACCTACCATAAGTCTCCCACTGAATACATCCTTGTGGTTCTTTAAGGTAAGCTATTTAAAGAAGTTATTTTCAGTTAATATTTGATTTGTGGAGCAGAAATATTAGGAGTCTGAAGTAAAGGAAAACATTTTTTCACTAGCTTTAAATCCACATTTGAGCAGCACCTTTTCAACTGGTTTTAGTTAATGAAAAGTCTTACAATTTCTGAGAAATGGAGTACAAAACTGATTCTGGATAAAAATAGGCAAATAGATGTAGTAAGTGTAGGCATATGTTCAGAAAAGAATCCTCTCCTTGTGTTCACTTTTTGAAAAAACAAATACTAAGGGTTTTTCTCAGTCATATAAAGGAATTTTTTTTTTTTTAATGGGACTGGGGTTTGCACTCAGGAATTCATGCTCACAAAGCACTCTTAACAATTGAGCCGAACCTCAAATCTATTTTACTCAGGTTGTTTTGAGATGGGTTTTACCTATTTGCCCAGGTTGGCCTTGAACCACAGTCCTCCCAATCTCAGCATCCCAAGTAGCTAGGATTACAGGGGTGAACCATGACTACCTAGCCAATGTAAAGTAATTCTTTCATGAAATGTTTATGTTCTTTTTATACTTCTCTTGCGTGTCTTTTTAGCTTAGTTAGGCTGCTTTAATCCTTTGCTAATCTTTTTGGCCTGCTGTGCCCACCTGTGCTAGGGATGAGGTCATGATAGACAACATAATACTCTGTCCCCAGTAGGTTCCCAAAGCGGTTGTGGAGATACTTTTTAAACCACAATAGGAGTGCTATGAGGGTATAGGGACACCATATATAGGTTACAGAGAATGGGGAGATCTTTTACAAAGGTGATATTGGAGCTGAAACCTGAAGGATTAGCAGGACTTACCTAGACAGAAGGTTGAACAGAGTGTATTTGGAGGGAGAAACACATGTGTCACATCCCTGAGGGAGCAGAGAATATTGAAATTGCCAGGCGTGGAAGAGAAAAAAAATAAAAAGGGAAGTGATGTGAGCTAGATAGGAGGATGTTAAAACCTAAAGTCTACAAGGCCAGAAGACTTGAAAGCAGGACATTGACATGTTTCAAAAGAACTGTTGAGCTACAGATTAGATTGCAGTTTGGAGGAATTTACACAGACAAGATTAGCTGGGAATGGAATTAGAAGGAAATAGAATTGAGTGGATATGATAGGAATGCAGAGAGAATGACAGTTCCATAAAAGAAGGAAGTAATTAGCTTATACTATACCATGCAAAATAGTAGGTACTGCATACTCAAACTTTATTTAGTTTAGGATTTTTCAACTTTGTGTGAAATGTGAAAAGGTTGACCATTTCAACCATTCTGGTTTTCAGTATTCAGTAAATTAAATGAGACACGGCACTTTATTACATAAAGTAGCTTTGTGTTATGTCTTTGACAACTGTAGGCTAGTGGGAGTATAGGCCAGGCTGTGCTGTGTGGGGTGGTTAAGTGGCTTTGCGGGGTGGGGGGGTGCCGCACTGAGGTTTTTAACTCAGACCCTCCTTTCATGAAATGTTTATGTTCTTTTGTACTTTCCTCTTGCATGTCTTTCAGCTTAGCTTTACTTGCTAGGCAGGTACTCTACCACTTGAGCCACTCCACCAGCCTCTTTTTTGTGATGGGTTTTTTCAAGAAGGGTCTCAAGAACTATTTGCCTAGAGTTGGCTTCAAACCACAATCCTCTTGATCTCTGCTTCCTAGCTGCTGCTAGGATTGCAGATGTGAGCCATGTACTCCCTGGGCTTACGTGCAGTTTTGATTTAGGATGTTTTAAACTACATATTCTGTGTCTAGGCTAATAGAGTGTAGGCCAGCTGTTATTGGGTAGGTTAGGTATATTAAATGCATTTTTGATTTAGGATGTTTTAAGCTTATGATGAGTTTATTGGGATATAACCTCATCATAAGAGCATCTATATTAACCAGTGCCAGTTGCCCACACCTGTAATCCTAGCTACTTTGGGGACTGAGATGGCAAGGATTGTGTTTGAAGTCAGCCTAGGTAAACAGTTAGCAAGACCCTATCTTCGTACTAGCCAGATCAAAATGGACTGACTTAAGCAATAGAGTGCCTGTTTTGCAAGGTGGAAGCTTTGAGTTCACACCCCAGCCCCAGCAGAAAGAAAGATTATCCATACTGTTAAGGTCAGCTAATACATAGGATTTAGAAATTTAGGACCTGTGGAGAATGAGATCATCTGAAGTGAGTTGATGGAATTTTTGAAGAGCTTGGGGGAAGTTGTTTAAAGATGACTTTAGTTTGTTTCTAGAGCCCGTACATACAGGTAGAGCCATTCTGACTGCAATTGAAATGCTATAGAAGTAGAGAAAGTACTGAATTTGTAGTACAGAGGAGCTGTACAGTAAAACCGTAGAATTGTACAGTTCAGGCCTCAGGGAACTGAAGGTTGGAGGCTTTTGCATGTCCTGAGCTCAACCAGAGGTGATTACGGAGACCCAAGGACCAGGTTGGGGAGTGAGGGGTGCACCTGGTGAAAGGGTTTCTGGGAAGGATATTATGATGGAGGTAGTAACATTCCCTCTTTCAGAAAGAGCCTTAGCTCAGTAAGATAATTCCCTTTTAATTGTGGGTAGTATAGAGACAGATTTTAAGGTAAGAAAAACCAAGTAGCTACAGGCATATTTGACATAGTGAAGGCTAATGTTACAAAATAGTACTGAGTCATTTCATTGCTAAGAGAGTGATCAGTGGGCAGAGTAAAGATGGGAAAGGAATTTCTGTAGGTTTGGGTTCAGAAATAAGACTATGTAAGGCTTTCCAGACATCTAAAGGAAAACTTTAGTTTTGAAAGTATTATTGAGACCTAGTGTAAGGTTGGTAAACCTGATTTCTTACAGTACTTCCCACCTGGGGCTTTCCTTCCAGGGAACATTTGGAATGTCTAGAAATAGGTTTTGTTCTTATAGCTGGGGTTTGTAGTGCTGTTGGCCACTAATGAATGAAGACCAGGCATGTTAGCAGCCCCACAATAACGAGACTGTCTGGTCCAAAATGTCAATCACAAGGCTGAGAAACCCTAGTTTAAAGGCACCATTCTCCAGTTTGGTTGCACCTGTCACACTCAGGATAGTCAACTACGGAATCTTTCAGGGTTTTTGTTTCACTAGGCACATAAAGATTTTATTCTGAGAAGTAACTGAAATGGTGTATGGTCTAAGCTGGGTCATGACGAATGTGAGAGCAAAAAGGCTTATGGATAAGGAAGCTGATGTCTATCAAGGATGGTGGCCAGAGGATGTAATGCAGAGTAGAATTTTTTTTGCAGTGTGGCTCTTAGACTTCTGGAGGTTACTGGTGACAGCAGTGCCTGGGGAGGATTTGGAGGAAGGAATCTGGAAAAATAGCATCTTCAAAGTCTTCCATACATGAGGAGCCATGACCAGGTGTGGGTCATGGACAACAGGACTGCTAGCCCAGCCTAACTAGGCATGGGAGATGGAGGAGCACAAGAAGCCTCCACCCTGACCCTGGGATCCTAGACTGTCAACCTAAGACTCAAAATGTGTCCTGGTCCTAGGGGAACAGGAGAAGCAGCTATTAGCATGTTGTTGCACTGAGGCAACCTGTGCTGGTTGCTTCAGAGTCTTTAGATAAGACCAAGGAAGGAGTGCCCAGGAAGTGCCTGTGCACATTTATGCATAGGAAGCCAATACAGGTTAGTCCTCATTCACCTGTCCTCCCTAGAGTCCACCCTGTTCCTCTCCCATTAACAGGAGTAACATCTTTTACTTATGCTGTATACTTACAAGGCGATCAGACTCTAAATCAGAATACGTGAATACATTTCCAGTGTTAGGTTTTACTATACTTGCAAGTGCTAAATGTAGGTCTGTTTCATTTATGCCATTCCCTATTAGTATAGGACACGAGGGTCTCTTTCACTTCATTGTTACAGATAGGCATGCAGGGGATATTTTCATCATCTCTAACCTGGGGCAAATGGAATCTCTGCAATATAGGGTGTGTGCCTTCTAAATTTCGAAGAATTGTAAAATTACCCTTTTGAAGTGAAGAGTTAACGTGCTACTGTGTATAGTAGCTGCATCAAATTTTAAAATCATCTGGGCTTGCCTGTAATCCTAGAGGCTGACATCAGAAAGATAAGATCATGTTTCAAGGCTGGCCCAGGCAAATAATTCTAGACTCCACCTCCAAAATACCAGGTGCAAAATGGAGTCGATGGATAGAGTGCCTGTTTTGCAAGTGTAGAGCCCTGAATTCAAACTCCAGGTGATAAGCATGCACCCAGGTTTTATTGTTTGAGATGGGATATTTCAGACTTTTACTCAGGCTGACCTAGAATCATGATCTCCTGATCGCAACTTCATGAGTGGTTCATACTTGTGATGAACCACTGCCTTTCCTTTTCAGAAATGAGGTACCACTTTTTCCATGCTGGTCTGAAAAGTCTTGGCTCAAGTGTTCTTTCTGCCTCAGCCCCCTTAGTGCCAGCATTACAGGTGCTCATCTATTTCTTAATGTCTTAGATTCACTCATCCTTCCCTTCTGCTCTGTAAAATGGGGAAACAGTATTTATTGCATATTCTTATTTATGCATATTAAATGAAAAATTTTGTAAATTTTTCTTTCAGCCACAGAAAAACTGCCCAAGCTTCTCTGACATCTGCCCTGTCAAGTATCCAAGATGCTAGGTCCTGAGGGAGGTGAAGGCTTTGTTGTCAAACTCCGTGGCCTGCCTTGGTCCTGCTCAATTGAGGATGTGCAGAACTTTCTCTCTGACTGCACAATTCACGATGGGGTTGCAGGTGTCCATTTCATTTACACTAGGGAAGGCAGGCAGAGTGGTGAGGCTTTTGTTGAACTTGAATCAGAAGATGATGTAAAGTTGGCTCTGAAAAAAGACAGGGAAAGCATGGGACACCGGTACATCGAGGTGTTCAAGTCACACAGAACCGAGATGGATTGGGTGTTGAAGCACAGTGGTCCAAACAGCGCTGACAGCGCCAATGATGGCTTCGTGCGCCTTCGGGGACTCCCATTTGGATGCACAAAGGAAGAAATCGTTCAGTTCTTCTCAGGGTTGGAAATCGTGCCAAATGGGATCACACTGCCAGTGGATCCAGAGGGCAAGATTACAGGGGAGGCCTTTGTGCAGTTTGCCTCACAGGAGTTAGCTGAGAAGGCGCTAGGGAAGCACAAGGAGAGAATAGGGCACAGGTATATCGAGGTGTTTAAGAGCAGTCAGGAGGAAGTTAGGTCATACTCAGATCCACCTCTGAAGTTTATGTCTGTGCAGCGGCCAGGGCCCTATGACCGACCAGGGACAGCCAGGAGGTACATTGGCATCGTGAAACAGGCAGGCCTGGAGAGGATGAGATCCGGTGCCTACAGTGCAGGCTATGGGGGCTACGAGGAGTACAGTGGTCTCAGTGATGGCTACGGCTTCACCACAGACCTGTTTGGGAGAGACCTCAGCTACTGTCTCTCAGGAATGTATGACCACAGATACGGAGATGGCGAGTTCACGGTGCAGAGCACCACTGGCCACTGTGTCCACATGAGGGGGCTGCCCTACAAAGCAACGGAGAACGACATTTACAACTTCTTCTCTCCACTCAACCCTGTGAGAGTTCATATCGAGATTGGCCCTGATGGAAGAGTGACAGGAGAAGCTGATGTTGAGTTTGCTACCCATGAAGAAGCTGTGGCGGCTATGTCAAAAGACAGGGCCAACATGCAGCACAGATACATAGAACTGTTCCTGAATTCGACAACAGGGGCCAGCAATGGGGCTTATAGCAGCCAGGTGATGCAGGGCATGGGGGTGTCTGCAGCCCAGGCCACATACAGTGGCCTGGAGAGCCAGTCAGTGAGTGGCTGTTACGGGGCCGGCTATAGCGGTCAGAACAGCATGGGTGGATATGACTAGTTTTCTAGGAGCATTTGAGTTGTTTCAATCAAATTTTCACAGGCAGCCAAGAAGCAGTGAAGAGCAGTTTATAACTAGAGGAGCTGTGGGACCCATTTTGCACCATGAGTTTGTGAAATCTGGATTAAAAAATTACCTCTTCAGTGTTTCCTCATGCAAACTTTTCTTCTAGCATGTGATACTGAGTAACCTAAAACTATTTTCTTCCGCTATTCTCGATTAACGTTTTGGTAGTGTACTTCAGAGTGATGTTATCTGAGTTAAACTAGTTTAAGTATGTTAAATGTGGCTCTTACGCCACACCACAGTGAGCACATTGGGGAGATGTACTTTTTTGGAGAACTCAAAGGTGCTAGATCCCTAATTCAAAGAGAAACATTTCTCATGTTTGTTCATTCTAGTTTATATTTTCATTTAAAATCTTTTAGGTTAAGTTTAAGCTTTTTAAAAGTTAGTTTTGAGAATTGAGACACAATACTAATACTGTAGGAATTGGTGAGGCCTTGACTTAAAGCTTTCTTTGTACTGTGATTTCCTTTTGGGTGTATTTTGCTAAGTGAAACTTGTTAAATTTTTTTGTTAACTAAATTTTTTTTCTTAAAATAAAGACTTTTTCACAATGACTGGCACAGATTATCTACTCAGCAAAAAGTAGCAAAATGGGTGGTTGGAGAGGACTCATTAATGCTAATTACTGTAGTGTGGATTTGAAAATAATATCAAATCCATGCCCTCCCTTTTAATGTCTTAGGGTTGAGGCTAAAATCAGTCTAATAACAATGGTATGTGCATGGTGGAGAAGGTGACTACATACGTCCAAGCAAGTATGAAGAAAGCACACAGCCCCAGTCAGCTGTGATTTGTGTGGTTTACTCTACTTTTTAGTTATCTATTTTTGATGAGATTGGGGTTCGAATTCAGGGCTTCACAGTTGCAAAGCAGGCACTCTTACCACTTGAGCCACACCTCCAGTCCATTTTTGCTCTGGTTATTTTGGAGATGGGGTCTCACCAGCTGTTGCCTGGGCTGTCCTCGATCCATGATCCTGATCTAGGTCTCTAAGTAGCTAGGATTAAAGTCAAGAGCCACTGATGTTGGACTGCTTCTCCCTTGGTGCTTGAGTTGAACATTGTTCTTAGCTAAAAAGCTTTACTTTTGAGTGCAAAATACAACCTGAGGCCATTAGCCACACTTTTCAAGGCTTCAAGATTTGTAAGGCAGGTCCACTACCACTTTGAGCCCTTTATGCTTTCATTACTGTTTTTTTTAATCAGCACTGGGGTTTGAACTCACAGCCCCATGCTTGCTAAGTAGTGCCGCTCCACCAGCCCTGCTTTAGTTAAGTTTTTGGACTTCAATCAGTTATCATTATGGCTGAGATTACAGGTATAAGCTGCCATGCCCAGCTTATTGGTTGTGGTGTCTCTCTAACTTGACGGTTGAGCAGTGGGGATTTTTTTTTTTTTTTTGGTACTTGGGTTTATTTCTATAGGATACATTACTGTGTTAATGTGTTGTTGGTAATTCTCCCAGCTTTGGTTTGCTGCTTGTCTCTAGTAGATGTCTTAATTTTACCAGTGTAAGGATTTTTATCTGGTTTTACAGAAAAAAATGCTCTTGGTTAACCCTAGAAGATTTTGTTAAAATGGTTAGACCAGAGTCTCCAGGCTCTTAAGGCTTCATTGGGCCTCACATGCCTTCAGTCCAGTGTGCATCCTCAGGTGGTGTGCCCCAAGGCAGCAGCATTACCCTGGAGTACACAGGCAGGAGATTAACTGGAAGGCAAGATTGAATAGCACTAGGGAGCTCTAGTGACACATGCCAGTTTTGGGCCTATGCTATGGGTTCTGCACTCTGTCTTTTAGGTATCAGAGCACCGTAGGAAGCCAGAGGCCCACAGGATCTAAGACCCAGAGAAAGCCAGAACCCAGAGAAACCCAGAGGTTAGCTGCTTTTATTGGTAGGGTCTGATGGGTCAGGAAAATTGGACCTTTTGGGTGGTGGAGTCTCAAGGACTCATTCATTCTTGAGTATAGAGGAGTGGGCTCCGGGAACCTGGACAAAAATTTGAGAAAGGTGCTAGATGGCCTAAAATCTCAGCCAGCAGCAGTGGGGCCCTCTAGACAAAGGTAGGTGACACTTCAAACTGATGTGTGTCCTTGGGTGTGGTCTGCCCTACATTATGTTTGCAGAATGGGTTGGTGGTAAGTCCACTATAGCTGGTAAGTCATTCCAGCCCATCACCTGTGTCTCACAGTTAGTTTGATGACGAGGAACTACAATTAAGCAAAATAAAATTCTCAGCTGCATTCCTATTAGTGTAGAAAGTTTATCTTAGTTTTGAGTTTCATCAATAAAGATGAGAAAATACCAAGTGCGCCAAACTATGGCTCCAAAGTGTTTGCAAGGCCATAAAAGTTCCAAGCCTAGCCCTGCGGAGTAGCATGAGGACTAAGCACAGGACAGAAGAAGTACCTTCATAGGAGCCAGAGTTACCAGACTCGGGACCTAGTGGACGTACGGGCAGGATCTTAGTGCCCAGGGTGTTGGTGCTGCAGGAGGATTGAGTACGCCCTAGTTGATATGGGGTGTCTTCCTCAAACCCCACCCCCTGCCCCTACTGGAGCTTGAAGGCAAGGTCCTGAAGCCAGGGGATGCTGGCTCTTGAGTCAGTATGTTAAAATTTGTGTCCAACAAAAATAGCAAAAAGTTTGGTGTCGTGGCACATGGCATATAATCCCAGTAGTCAGAGGGATCATGAGTTTTAGGCCAGCCCAGGCAAGATCCATTCTCCAAAAAACCCAGTGCCCTTCCCTAGCAAATTTAATATCTTTGGGCCCTTCTAGGGGGCATTCTTAGCTGTGTCCCTCCTCCCCAGCCCCCTGTACTGGGGTTTGAACTCAGGGCCTACACCTTCAGCTACTCCACCACCAGCCCTTTTTTGTGATGGGTTTTTTTGAGCTAGGGTCTCAAGCTATTTACCTGGTTGGTTTCGAACTGATCCTCCTGCTTGCCTCCTGAGTAATTAGGATGAGCCACTCCACTACCCTTTTTTTGTGCTAGATATTTTCAAGATAGGGTCTTGTGAACTATTTGCCTGGACTGGCTGCGAACTGCAATCCTCCTGAGTAGCTAGGATTACAGGTGTGAGCCACTGGTACCCAGCTACAGATTTTTTTTCCCCTTTTTTCTTTTTTAATTCTTGTGATGAACCCAGGGCCTCTCATAGGTACTCTACCTCTGAGCTACATGTCCCTAGGATTCCTGATTTTTGTCATCAGGATCTTGTTCTAGAACAGAACAAAGTCTGTCTCAGGCCATTCATTCATTGGCTTAGAAAGACCTGCAGAGTTCACACAATATTCCCCTCCAGGGCCAGGGCAAGGAATAGACAGTCTCTTGAAGGCTGTTGGATAGAGTCTAAGTTGGTGTGGATACCAGGGGACCCATAATGTCCTCACTCCCCCTCTGTAGACACACCACAGAAAGGGTGGCAAGTGAATGGATTCCTGGGCCACAGTCAGTTCAGCATGGGCACTCTACCAGTTGGGTTTGCAGGCCCTCACATTATCTTCCCAAGTGAATTAGTGGGAAGGGGTGCCCTAACCTTGCAATGGCTTGTGAAGTAAAAGCAACAATGGTAGGAAAGGCCCAGAGGAACTCAAATGGTTCTCCCCCTCCAAGACAGCAAATTAAGGGGAGGTGTATATGGGACTTCTGAGATTATGGCCATGTGAGGAGACAAAGGTCATGTATGTAGGTCCTTTTGCTAACCTGGCCCCAGCAAAATCCAGATGACCCTGGTATAAGATAGGGAATGCCCAAGAAGTTAACCATCCCTCCACCCATAACAACTGCAGCCATTACTGTATAGAGCTCCACACTTGGAGGCATGAATGCAGTGAATACCTTCTTCCCATTCAACATCTAGTAGGTTAAAAAACATTTACATGGATAGCAAAACATGTTCCCTCGCTTTCCTCAGGATGCTGTCAGTGGTCTCTTAGAATTTCAAGAGACAATGATCACCTAGTGAGTGTACTAGTTACTTTTCCCATTGCTATACCCAGAACATCTGAAAGAACAATCTAAGAGATTTGGGGGGTTTTTTTGGCAGTACTGGGATTGGAACTCAGTGTTAGGCACTTCAGCATTTGAACCACACCCCCAGGCTCCCCACCATCCACTTTTTTTCTTGCAGTACTAGGGTTTGAACTCAAGGTCTACACCTTGAGCTCTTCCACCAGTCCTTTTTTGTGATGAGTTTTCTCAAGATAGGGTCTCACAAACTATTTGCCAGGGCTGGCTTTGAACTGCAATTCTGATCTCTGCCTCCTGAGTTGCTAGGATTTTAGGTGTGAGCCACCAGTGCCTTGCTCCTCTCCTCCCCGCTTTTTAAGAAGACTTAATAATGGTTACAGTTTCAGAGAGTTCATTTGATGGTCACTTGGCCCCATGTGCTTGGGCAGAACATCATGGTGGTGGGAGTGTTGGTGGAGGGTCTTTACCTCATGGTGGACAGGAAGCAGAGAGATGAAACACTGACCAGGCCTCATACCCGCCATAAGCCACTTCCTCCAGCTAGGCCCCACCTCCTAAAGTTTACACAACCTCCTAAAATGGTTCCACCAGCTGGGGCCAAGTATTCATTCAGCCCATGAACCTGTGGTCTGCGTTTCAGATTTGAAACTACATACCTATCAATGAACACTGTATCTATTGTTGACAGTCTAAGTGGATTTGGAGAGGAAAGAGCAAGCACTAGATGCCCAAGGAAGATCTATGGGCTTGAGGGAGGACAAATCCAGGTCACTGACATCAGGAAAGTGTTTAGGTTCCAGTAGTCTTGGGGAGGTGTTGGCAGGTCTGTGGGCCAAATTTGGCCTGCTGCCTGTTTTTGTAAATAAAGTTTTATTGGTACACAGTGATGCCCATTCTCTGTACATGCTGCTCTTGTGCATGTACAGGTTGCTGAGTGATTGCGTCAGGGACCACACAGCCCACAAGCCCTAAAATGTTTACTAGCTGCAGGAAATGTTTTTCAACTAGCAGTCTGGAGCATAGCTCGGCCATTTTTTACAAGGTAAAAGTCAAAATATGGCACTTTGGGCTGGGGCATGTGGCTCAGTGTAAAATGCTTGCCTAGCATGCATGAGACCCTGAGTTCACAGCCCTACCACCAAGGAAAAAGATGTATCTTCCAATTCTTATCACTCACAGGCGGGACTTGGTGCATTTGGAAGAAATCATCTTTTACACTTGGAAATATTGCTGCCCAATTACCAGAAGGTTGCAAGCTTATGCCAACTGCTCTGCCATCTGTTATAAATGACAGAGTAGGCCCCACCATGGAGATACCTGTGTTCATAAATGGTTTCCTGTGGTAGTCCCAACCCTGAGTGTCTGAAACTAGTGCAGAAAAGCACGTTATCATTCAAAAAGCAGCCCCTGCTACTAACTACAGAGCTCAGCAAAGGTGGAGACCAAGACCCCTGCATTAAGACTGCTCATGAGCCACTGGATATGGGCAAATGCTGCCCTCTTCAGTTGTCTTCGAGTTCTTTTGTGGTACAGGATATTGAACCCAGGGCCTTGTGTATGCTAGGCAAGTGCTTCACCACTT